CACAACCTCACCTTTCCAGGCGGCAGGTCCGGTGGATTGACTTCCTCGAGACACACTTCCACTACGACATCGTGTACAAGCCCGGTCACAAGAACAAAGCAGACGCTCTCAGCCGGCCTGCACACGTTGCCGCTATTCAGGTCGAAGGGATGAATCCACTACTCAAGGGACTCTTCACACACGGATACGCCACCGACCCCGAAATTCCCTTGGCAGAAAAGCGACATCTGCTACAGTGGGACAGTGACATCGCGTACCGAAAAGGATCAACGAAAATCTGGGTACCCAATTACCCTCCTTTGCGCCAGTTACTACTCGATGAATACCACGACGACCTCTACGCCGGACACTTCGGTAGCAACAAGACGCTAACCGGTATCGCAAAGCACTACTACTGGCCCCACTTGGCAGAAGATGTTCAGAAATTCGTCACCTCGTGTGATACATGTCAGCGGATGAAGAGTACCAAGCAGAAAAAGGCGGGACTACTGCAGCCTCTTCCTGTCCCAGAACAACCATGGCAAGTGGTTAGCCTAGACTTCATCACCGGGTTACCACCTACCTCCAGCGGTCATGACGCCATCCTTGTCGTTATTGACAAGTTCTCCAAAATGGGACACTTCATCCCGACACACACGACAGCACGCACCGAAGAAACAGCACAACTCTTCGTTCGATACATCATCTCACAGCATGGCATTCCAACCACACTCATCTCCGACCGAGACCCTAAGTTCACCAGCAAGTTCTGGAAGGAACTTATGTCTCTCCTTGGGACCAAACTCGCCATATCATCTGCTTACCATCCGCAGACACACGGACAGACCGAGCGCCTCAACCAAATTGTTGAGCAACTCCTCCGAGCAGCCTGCAAGGACGAGATCTCCAAATGGGACTTGCACCTGCCCGTACTAGAGTTTGCTTACAACAATGCTACACATGCCGCTACTGGACAGACGCCGTTCTTCCTCTGCTACGGACGCCACCCACTCACACCACAGAAACCGACAGCATCAGCTACAGTCCAACCAGCACATGATTTCATCACAACCATGCATCAGCTTTGGGATCGGACCCACAAGCGCCTACTCGACATTCAACAGCAACAGAGGCGCCAAGCCGATCGCCATCGCAACGATCACACCATCATGGTGGGAGACCAGGTGCTTCTTGACACCCGCAACCTGGACATCAGCCATGTCCCATCTAAGCTTCGACCTCGCTTCTGCGGGCCTTTTCTCGTTGAAGCACAGGTCACTCCTGTTGCCTTCCGCTTACGCCTGCCAGCTACCTGGAAGATTCACAACGCCTTCCACGTCCAACTTCTGAAGCCCTATCGGGACCCGAACACGATTTTCGTCGGACGCCAACCGCCGCCGCCACCGCCCGTCCTCGTCCAGAATGAACCCGAGTACGAGGTCGAGTCCGTGCTCGCACACCGCCGTCGTCGGAATGGCACCGTGGAGCTTCTCATCCGTTGGAAGGGTTATGATCCTTCTGAGGACAGCTGGGTACCTGAGTCCGACATGGGTAACGCCCGTCGTCCTCTGCATGACTACCTTGTCAAGCAGGGTGTTATTTCTACCACCCAGCTTTGAGGGGGGGAAGTGTGAGAGCACGACCCCGTTACACCTCTTGGCCTTTTCTTATTTCCTTCCTTTTTCATTTCTCTTTTATTCCATCTCATTTGGTTTCCTATTCTTCCTTTCCCATTAACCTTTGGTTTATCCTGCTATTATAATTATATCACCGACCAGGCTTGGGATGTACTGGTGCGCTCTATCTAGCGTAATCCTGCTGTAATCCCTTAAAGCCAATAGCCTCGCGTGGCTATACGCAGGGTGATTCTATCTTCTAGAAGGGTCTATTCCCCTAGGATAAGATAAACATGGTTACCTGATGTACTCTGGAAGTATAAAAACGCCTTGTACTGATCGATAGTGCAATCTTTCCTCGAGTCATTCGATCCTGTGACAACGAGCGACTGACGCTGCAGCATTACCTGGACAACATTGCCAACACACACGACCCCATCGACGGCCTCGGGGGCCTTCGTTCCTTCGCCGACCGTGCTGCCGAGACTGACGCAGCAGAAGAAGACGTACCTGGAGCATCGGAAGCTGCCGGACCACTCCCTTTCTGTTCCGTACCTGTTCCACTCGACGAAGACAATCCTCTCGATAGCAACAACCTCGACACCCTCTACCACTTCGCTGACCAAGGTTACGCTACGCCTCACCCGGTCGGCACGAATATCTCAGAACGCATCGGCCCCAACTTCTTACCTGATCCAGAAGATGGTGACAAAACAGCCTATTCCGGGAATGAAAATTCCCCTCGACACACACCCACGGGACTGCAAATCCTCGGCTTATGGGTCTCCATCCAGCACCCGCCGCCGCCATCTCCGCGCGAGCCAACGACTCTGTCGCAGGCTCTGGGGGGAGAACATAAGACGAAATGGAAGGAGGCAATGGAAAAGGAACTGAAAGCTCTGCAAAACCAAAACACATGGAAGCTGGTACTTGCAACGAACGTCAACGGGAAGAACGTTCTCTCGGGAAAATGGGTGTACCGCATCAAGACCAATGCGGACGGCTCCATCGAACGATTCAAGGCTCGCTGGGTCGTACGAGGATTTGATCAACGATACGGAACCGACTACACAGAAACATTCGCCCCAGTCTCTCGTCACACCTCCTTGCGCATCCTACTCGCCGTCAGGGCCACAAAGAAACTACCACTACGCCAGATCGACGTCGCAAATGCCTTCCTGTACGCACCTGTGGACGCCGAAATCTTTGTCGAGCAGCCCCACGGATTCATCGACGACCCCACAAAAGTATGACAGCTGATAAAATCCCTTTACGGGATCAAGCAAGCCCCGCGGCTCTGGCAGCAGCATCTTCACGGTCGCCTCGTCAGAATCGGATTCCTACAGCTGCCGCATGACCAAGGCATGTACCGACTGCAGAAGGGAAGAGAGTATATCCTACTCATCGTTTACGTCGACGACCTGCTCTACATCGGTTCCACTACCGACATCGCCACCTGGTTCGAAGGGGAGCTGAAAGGGGACTTGACACTCATGGTGTCCGACACAGTGACCCAGTACCTGGGTCTGAATGTCGTCGAAGACAACTCGGCGTTCTACCTATACGCTGGAAAGTACGCAGGCGTTGTCGCAAAAAAGTTCGGACTAACACCAACTACAGTCGCGACTCCCTACCGCTACGGGAACAACAACGACACCTCCGAAAAACTCCCCGCGAAGCAAATCCGGGAGTATCAGCAGAAGCTCGGCTGCCTACTATTCGCAGCAGTAACCTGCCGACCTGACCTATCCTACAGCGCAAGCCAGCTGGCGACGCATCTGAAGCAGCCGGAACAAGAAGATCTCGAAGAACTAAACCGGGCATTACTCTACTTCGTCTCTACGCCGACGACCGGACTTACCTATAGCAAAGTAACAACACCATCCGTACAACTACTCGGATACGTCGACGCCGACCACGCGGGGGACAGGGAAAATCGACGATCGAGAACGGGCTACATCTACCGACTAGAACCTATCGGGACTATCTCCTGGCAGTCGAGCAAACAGGAACTAATCGCACTATCTTCGGCTGAAGCAGAATATATCGCCCTCTGTACTGCGACCAAGGAAGGACTCTACCTGCGAGAGTTGCTCAAGGAAGCGAAGATTGCGACCCTGCCCGTCTTCTCACTCCTCTGCGACAACCAATCTGCGATCAAAATCGCGAACAAGGACGGCTTCGCCAACCGAACCAAGCACATTGCCCTGCGGTACTTTTTCGTCAAAGATGAAATCGCGAAGGGGAGACTTCAACTCAGTTACTGCCCTACGACAGAAATGGCCGCAGACTACCTGATGAAGAAACTTGCGAAGGCAGAGCTCGATTACTGCATGCTGCTGACTGGGCAGGCAAACGTCACCGGATCCGAACACGTCAGCACTCCAGAAACGAATGGGAGTGTTGGAAATACCTCAAGGACTTAAGCGTTTCTGAAGTGTAACACCATACTCGAGGAAGGTCGTAACGGGTACGCGAGTCAACGGAGGTTACACGAAGGGATGGACAAAGAACACGAAAGGACTCGAAGGGTCGCAACTGGAGGTTGCGACTGACAGTTACAACTGCAAAGATGGTAACCGAAGCGACAATCGAGTCGCTGTGCGACTCGATAACCACTCTTTGAACTGTATTCTACAACTGCTTTACCTTCATACTTTCTATATACTGTTGTATGCTTGTTCCTTTAATCAATCACTTGTTCTCATATACTAGTACAAGTGTTCAACTACCTCAACTTCCGCTGCACTACTCAAGTCTTTTACAACTTGGACTTAGTCTCTGGAAAGATCCTAAGGGCATTTTTCAGCCCAACATCAAGCTTAAGGGGTATCTTAAATTATATATTTTGTTATATAATTGGTAGGCTTGGTAGGTGTTATTGCAACCAACTGTAGAGGGTACAACCCCTCTCCTTATATGCCTCTCTCTTCTATTCTCACCCTTTTTTCTCTCATAACTTTCTCTCCTAGCTAAACCCTCGTGCCATTTCATGGCTTCTTAGCTACCTAGTCTCAGAAACTTAGGAGTCTAGGTTCCTAAAGTTAGGACACTAGCTTAGCTAGGAATGACGCCATGGGATGGTGGGAGGAAAGTAGATCTAGGAACGTGAGTAGTGATGAGAAATGTCGAGAAGAAAAAGAGGGATTGAAAAGAAGACGGAGGCATACAAGAAGGGGTATTGTACCCTCTACAGCAGTATTCAGTAATGGTATACAAAGCCTATAAATTGTAACTTATATAATTTTAACACCTAGTCCCCTGACACTCATACTGTATGTTACCAAACGCGGGTGAGAGTAGGTACAGGGCATACAGACACGAGGATGCCAGTGAATGCAGCAGTAATTTCTGTGCAACGCCTCTGAATTACTGCTTGTACGTCTTTATTTGTAGTCAACGTGTACCAATTTTGCATATATATTCATCGAAGCTCTCGCTGTATCAAGGACAAAAAAACAGCAAGAATTGCTTGACCCGTCATTCACTGACTCGAAACCCGGCATTCACATCGTGCGACTCGAGTTTTGTCAGAGAGGCTGATCTGTAACTACGTAACCCCCCAGGCAGAGAGATGGCCTGTAGCCCTTCCCCGAGGATCGAGGCAACCCCAGCGTGTCTCTTGACAAGCATACGTAGTCTACGATTCTTTATCCCTCCCGCCGCTTGGGGCATGAGGATGTGTGGTCAGATTACAGCTCTTAAGAAGATTGATCAATCGTTGTAATACCCTACGATAGTCACATATACGCTTCACCTCGCCGGGAACGTTGTGCCAGGAAGGATAGCCCTCAACGGTTGCCACCGTTACAGGCCTTGATGGGTTCTTTGTACAAACTCCCTCCACCACTGCAATGTGAAACAAATGGGTGGTGGGGGAGGACGACAACGAGATAGTAAAAGGTCACGAGAAGGGATGGAGACAAGCATAAGAAAAAGGTAAGAAACTGCATATCAAGGAGGTGTGAGCATACATACCGTATTGTATTTGTCTGAAAACTATGATCTATGTACTAAATTATATATGTTAGTATATAATTGTAGGTTTGGTAGTGGTTACTGAACATTTCTGTAGAGGGTACAACACTCCTCCTTGTATCCCTCTCTCTTCTTTTCTAGTTACTCTTTTCTCTCACCAACTTTCCTACCATAAAACATCACGCCATTTCTATGGCTCCTACTACCTAGATTATAGTTTTCAGATCTAGTAACAGAGCAACTCCCTTCCGGGCCTGCTCCCCTCGCTTCCGCCGCGCACTCCTTCCCCGTCATGCCGCGCGCTGGCCCCGTCGCGTCGCACGGGCCACGCTTCCGCCGCGTACCCGTCCTTACTTCGCCGCCGTCGCGGCCTTCCGTTTGCCTGCCGCCGTGGCACATTTTTCGAGATGCCGCGGCGGCCTCTGTGTGCTGTCGTCTCAGCGTCAACGAGCAGCCGCGGCTTCGACGCCACGCTGTGGTGGCGTCGTAGTGGTGCCGTGGCGGTGTCGTCAGCCTGTTGCCGTCGCGCACCACCTGCGTCGCTGCTGGACTTGCAGCCCGCCCGCACGCCAGTAAGCGCCGCGCCAGCAATGGCGCCGCGCTGAAGATCTGAAACCCCGCCCCTTCCCTCTTCCCTCTGTCCCCTCCTCTTCGCCAAAGCTGTCGCCTGACTCTCGTCGGTCGTCCCTCTAACGCAGAGTTTGGACATGCCGCCGGAAGGGCGGGGGCCGCTGCCGTTACCGTTGTCGTAAACCGAAGCCATCGCCGTCGCCGCTGTCGTCGCCGCAGGCCTGTTGCCGCCGCACGCCTGTAGTCGCCGTCGATGTCGCCGCTGCCGGGACGGCTGCCGTCGCCATCTCCAGGGCCTTGGGGTTGGGCCCTGCTGGAGTAGTCGTGGCTGATGGGAATGAGGATGCTAGGCTAAGGGGTGTGGGGGTGTGTGGGTTTTTGCTACCAAGCCTAAGGGGTGTGTTAAATCATATATGTTAGTATATAATTGTAAGCTTGGTAGTGGTTACTGAACATTTCTGTAGAGCGTACAACACTCCGGCTTCGGCTTACGACAGCGGTAACGGCAGCGGCCCCCGCCCTTCCGACTGCATGTCCAAACTCCGCGACAGGGGGACGACCGACGAGAGTCAGGCGATGGCTGTGGCGAAGAGGAGGGGACAGAGGGAAGAGGGAAGGGGCAAGGCTTCGGATCTTCAGCGCGGCGCCATTGCTGGCGCGGCGCTTACTGGCGTGCGGGCGGGCTGCAAGTCTAGCAGCGACGCAGGTGGTGCGCGATGGCAACAGGCCGACGACACCGCCACGGCACCACTACGACGCCACCACAGCGTGGCGTCGGGGCTGCGGCTGCTCGTCGACGCTGAGACGACAGCACACAGAGGCCGCCACGGCATCTCGGAAAATGTGTCACGACGGCAGACAAAAGGAAGGCTGCGACGGCGGCGAAGGACAGGTACGCGGCGGAAGCGTGGCCCGTGCGACGCGACGGGGCCAGCGCGGATTGACGGGGCCAGCGCGGCGCGACAGGGCCAGCGCGGCATGACGGGGAGGGAGTGCGCGGCGGAAGCGAGGAGAGCAGGCCCGGGAAGGGAACCTGCTCTGATACCATGTCTGAAAACTAGGATCTAGGTAGGAGGACGAGCCATGGAAATGGCGTGAGGTTTTAGGGTATGAAAGTTGGTGAGAGAAAATAGTAACTAGAAAAGAAGAGAGAGGGATACAAGGAGGGGTGTTGTACCCTTTATAGAAATGTTCAATAACCACTACCAAGCCTACAATTATATACTAACATATATAATTTAGCAGTATTATCTCCACCTGCCTGGTACCATGGGACCACGACCACTCTATGGTGTCAACGATAGCTCATCTCCATTCACTCACTCACCTTGTGTGATGCGACAAGATACGGTATGTCAAGGGGGCGTGTGAGGAGCAGCAGGCATACGGGTTGAACATGGCCCATGCCCTCTCACTCACCCTGTGTGACGCAACAAGATACGGCATGTTGAGGGGGTGTGTGCGCACGTATTGCATTCGGTCCGCCTCCTCTCTCCCTCGGGCCCACCAGGTTATGTTGTCGTGCTCTTTCATTGCCAGCGTGCACTCCTTGATGCCCCGTTTGATAAGGCCCTGGGGGAAAGTCAACACGTGTCAACGGTAGTCAACAGAGGTCAGCTCGCTACCACCAGGTTATGTTCTCCTTGATGCCCCGCTTGAAAAGGCCCTGAAGGAGAAGTCAACAGAGGTCAATGGGAGTCAACGCAAGTCAACGGGAGTCAGCAGAGGAGAGTCAACAGTGCGAGACCAACAGACTATGTGGAGTCTGCTGGTAAGGAAAGTGTTCGAATCCTCAGAGCACTCACATGGAAGTGGTCATGTCTGAGAATGTCAGTTGACACATCCGCACCTCCCCCTTCAGGCTCCTGAACCACGTGGTTCTCCACCATTCGCACCTGTGATAGAGGGAAGGGGGGACAGTGGATGAAAAGTTCACTTTGAAGACAACAGAAGGTGAGGCTCCTCCCCAGTAACCCGACCCGAACCCGACTTTTTGACGGGTCGGGCCGACATTCGCGGAGGGTCGACCCGACCCTCGGGTACCCGACCCGAACCCGACTTTTTGACGGGTCGGACCGACATTCGCGGAGGGTCGACCCGATCCTCGGGTACCTGACCCGACCCAACCGACAAAACCCAAACCGTCGGGTCGGCTTATTACCCTTCCCTGCCCCTATGCCAGCCCAACCTGACCCGACCCAAAATCGGGTCAGGTAGTACCGGACCTATTAAACCCGGGTTGGGTTGACATTTCCCGAACTCCGACCCGACATGACCCGACCCGACCTGACCCGAAACCGGCATCGGGTAAGGCAAAGTTGGGTCGGGTCAGGTCGGGTCGGGTCGGGTTTATGCTCAATAGTGTCCTGCACCACGTGGCTGTCCTCCACTGGCACCTAAGAGGACGGGGGAGGTGACAGTGATCGGACAGCAGAGAACTGAAGATCGGCTTTCTAAGAAGAGAACTGAAGATGTGCATTTTCCCCTGTAGGGCCCTGAACCACGTGGTGAGTCTATTTTTCCCCTGAGGCGCCTCAAAAATATGAACCACGTGGTTCTCCTCCACTCGCACCTAAGAGGAGGAGGGAGGAGGCTGTGGATGGAACGCATTTAAAGAAGGGAATTGAATACGAGGGGTTTTTTCTCCTCAAGGGTCCTGAACCACATGGTCAGGTCCGTGGCAAGGGCATTGCATGGCGGTGCACGAGCCCAATCACTACTACCAACCGCGTTGCGTTCTGAGAAACAGGCATACGCAATTCGGGATGCTTCGAGTTGCATTCACTGGAGAACAAGCTCACTCACCCTTCTGGGATCGACAACAACTTGCGGTGACCCAAGTGGTGGTTCAAGCACGTGTTGGTTGAACTAGCGTGTGCTGGTATGTGAAGCTAAGCAAGCACACACGTTCCCCACCATTTACAAGCAAGAAGCTCACCCTTCTGGGATCCACAAACAGCTTGCGGTGCCCGTAGTGGTCCAAGCACATGCTGGCTTTCGTGTTGTTGCCCTTGGCCCGACAGAAGATCCCCGGCCCGTGCCACAGCATGCGCTCCAGAGGCCTCCTGGGGTCTGCCATAGGAACAGAGATATAGACGAAGAGAGGAGGAAAGGACGGCTCGCTTAAAGCCACGGGTTGCATTGTTTAGCTTGCATGTTGTCTCACTAGTTCTCTAATCCGACGGGCACACATCACCTTATGCGATACACTTGCTTCAGACAAATGCTGAAGTATACGTTAAAAGACATACCATAAAGGACATACCATCAGGGCCTTCAGACGGCAGGCAGCGTTCACAGTCCCACCAGAGGCTCCCGTGGCTGACATAGGGCATGCCCTCATAGGGCATGAGGAAGTGATGCACGCTCAAAGGGGTGGGCATGCGCTCCTAGCGAAACAGTAAAAAGGAGAAGAGAGGAAAAAGAAGAGAGGAAAAAGGAGAAGGGTGTGTTTGGGGTTGGTGGGGGGGGAAGAGAGGAAAGGGGGGGGAGGGGTTTGAGGGCGAGAAGAGGAGACGAAGGACAAAAAGGGATGCTGAGGTGGGAAGCGAGAAATTTGGAGGGTGAACTTCTGAATGGGACAAGCACAAGAGAATTGACAAGGACAAGGACAAGGACAAATCATGGAAGAATTAGGAGGAAAAATGACAAAAGAGATAAGACTACATGTGGGAAGGAGAAAAAGAGGGGTATAAGGTGATTATGTAACAACATGAAGGGGAAACTGGTGCTTACCTGTCTGCCAAAAAACATGAACTCGTCGAAATCAAGGTACATGAGCCTGCCTAGCTGTCCTTACTAGTCAACTGCAACATCCTTACCTGGCCATTTATGAAGATGAACTCGTCATAATCGAGGTACATGATCCACTTGGAGAGGGGGCGGAAGCGATAGACACAGTCGTTCACTATCATGACCTGACAGGTAGGGGAATAGAAGGGAGTGAGGGAGGAACGGAGCAATACACACACTCATTCACTAGCGTGACCCGGTGGGAGGGAGAAGGAGATTGGGGGGGGGGAGGGGGGGGAGATGGAGAGATACTCACATCCATTGACAATCACGACCTACTGAGGAGCCAGCGGCACACGGTGGAGATGATGCAGAATGCGACGAGCCGATCTCTCGACTGCCCGACAACCTCTCGTCTGCCGTTCTTCGCGTGGCGTTTAACGGCAGCGGATTCGACGATCCTGATGTTTGTCCGCACGGCGAGGCAGCTGTGCGAATGATTGGGCCTTAATCTTTGTGTGAGCGCTCGATCTTTCATCGCAAAGCTGCCTCGCTGCACTGACAAAAATCATGATCGTTGAATTCCCTGCCGCTAGACTCCACTCGAAAAAAAACTGCAGCTAAGAGTTCCTCAGGCAGTTGGGAGATCAAGTCGCCACGTTCTGCATCATCCGCACTGTGTTCCGCTGGCTCGTCGGCAGCTGGAACAAATGGCATCGGCGGCTTTCGCGATCCCGTGTGCTTACAATCTGCCACGACTGTGAGCTGGGATAGACAGTTCTGGGCGTGAGCTGTGAAGTAAATATGCAACGGCTTGTTTTGTACGCGCTAACTACGCGTCATGGTAGAACAAGCAGGTAAGGCCCTTGGTATAATCGGCAATTGAAGCATGCAGCCAAGCATTTCCTTTACACAAATCGGATAACCTCTTATTGGATGATCCCAAAGCAGATCCTTGCATGCCTCACCTGCCCGTGATACCATGACTCATAGTTCACCACCTCCCGAAAATCCGTGATATCTGCAATCCCGCCATCTAGGAATGGCTGTAATTGGGAGGAAAGCAGAGAGGTAATGGCAGAGAAAGCAGAGAAACACCAGTCAAGGTGGGGGAACACAAAATATTGAAAAAAACAAAATAGGAGAAAGGCCTTCGTGCCAGAACTGGAAGCTAAGAGTAACATTAACCTATCATGTGGTGACCTCTTAAATCTCACAGTAGTGGTCAATTGTGAGCATAGCTTGTCGTCCACCCGTGTCACATCATGCATGGGGAGAGTAGTTGTGGGGTGGGGGGTTGGGGAGTGGGGTGGGGGGGGAGGGAAGGAAACTACTGTGCTGCATACCTGGATGGCAGTCCGCAGGTGGTCGTCCACCCCGCCCACATCGTACATGGCATAGTGGTCCACACCCATCCGTATGTGCACATCCATCCATTGGTAGACGCGCTCCGCGTTCACCTGCAGCCATGCCACACATGCAACATGTTTAGCCCCATGCCCCATGCCCAATGCCCCATGCCACATGCCCCATATGCGGATTCATCATACCAGAAGGACGAGGGAAGGACAAGAGGAGGATGAGGGAGGGATGAGAGAACGAGTAGTGTGTGTGGGGAGACAGCAGTTACAATCCTGGTTATGAATGGGTGGGTGGGCTGAATGCGTGGATTGGGTGGGGGGGCTGAAGGTGTGGTTTGAGGGGCTAAAGTTGTGAAATGAGGGGCTGAAGGTGTGAAATGAGGGGCTAAAGGTGTGAAATTAGGGGCTTAAGGTGTGAAATGAGGGGCTGAAGGTGTGAAATGAGGGGCTAAAAGTGTGAAATGAGGGGCTGAAGGTGTGAAATGAGGGGCTGAAGGCGAGCATACCTGACCGTGTATGGGGGGAGAGCAGTGCGTGATGTTGTGGAGGAAGGGAGGATGGGTCACGGCACCAACCACATCCACGGGATGCTCCTCATACACCACCACGTCCTCCCCTTCCATGCCCATGTGTAATTGCCCTCCAAGTGCCACATACGCTTCCCTGAGCATCCACCATAAGGCATGGGGCATGGGCAACGGGGCACAGGAATGTCTGCTGATTAAACATCACCACATCGTCCCCCCACATGCCCATGTGTAACCAGCTGCCATCTGCCACATACGCCTCTCTGTGCATGCACCACATGACATGGAACATGGACCATGGGGCACAGCAATGACTGCTTCTCATACACCACCACATCCTCCCTTCTATGCCCATGTGTAGCCTTCCTCCATCTGCCAGATAGGCCGCCCAGCCATGGGTAGTTGGTCGTGGGCCATGGGTCATGGGACATGGGTCAAGGGACGTGGGTCATGGGCCATGTGATATGGGTCATGCGGCATGGCTTATGGGACATGTGACATGGGATGTGGGTCATGGGATATGGGCCGCGGGATAAGGGACATGGGTTATGAACCATGGGGGACATGGCACATGCAAAGCAACATCTCCCCGCTCTTGTCACTCACCTCTCGAGAGAGCACAGAAGAATGTGCCCAGCATATTTCAGCGAATGGTGTTCCCCCACGTGTACCTCCCCTCCTTCACATCACCATGTATCCACCCCCTACCTCTCAAGAGTACACAGCAGGATCAGCCCGGCATATTTCAGCGAATGGTGTTCCCCCACGTGTAGCTCCTCCACCTTGCCGTGTATCCACCCCTTCTTATTCACCTCCACCTCTTCCAACCTCCTCCCCTCCTCTCTCCTCGCCTCCTCCCCCCTCTCCTCGCCCAACAGCCTCCTCCTCCTTCTCCTACTGCCACTACCCTCTGTCGTGGCACTGGCAACCCTAACCTCCTCTCCTCTTGGCTCCTGTGCTTGCCCTAGCCCAGCTGGTTTTGCAGGCTCCCACATGCAATCGCCAACCTACCAAAGATTGCAACGCAGCACAAATAAACACATGACATAAGACAGGACACCACACTTGCATGCACCATGTTATACGTTGCTTCACCCTACCCAGCCGTCACATTCCTCACTTTGCCCAGAGCACGAACAGTCAACCCCACGACAGCAAACTGGTTGGGGGCGATTCACTCGCATAACTCACCTTCGTTCACTCCTCCCTGCCCTCACCTTTCTCACTTCGTCCATGGCACGAGCAGTTTATTTTTGAGGCGCCTCAAAAACAGACTCTTCGTCCATGGCACGAGCAAGCTGTTAGACGGGAGGAAAATCATTCACATCACTACCCACTCTCCGTTACCCCCCCCCCCCCTTGCCCTCACCTTTCTCACTTCGTCCATGGCACGAGCCGCCAGCCCCACGACCGCAAACTGGGTGGGAGAGAGGCGATACGCAGAGAACTGCTCAAACGTCAAGAGCCTCGCACTGCCAATAGGCCTAAACCGATGCTGCTGCCACTTGGCAGGTGTGGTGCCACCAATGCTGCTTCTGCTGCCACTGCTGTCACTGCTGTCTCTACTGCTGCTGCTGCTGCTGCTGCTGCTGCCGCCACTGCTGCTACTGCTGCTGCCGCCACTGCTGCTGCTGCTGCTGCTGCTGCTGCCACTTCTCATGGTGACGGCAGCTGGAGCTGTATTTTCCCCTGCTGGTGGTGCTGAAAATGCACTTGGCACGGCTGCGGGCTGAAGACGTCAGTGGCAACAGGTGGGAATGGAATGCGCAGGGAAGAGATGTCGAGGAGGGGAGAGGGAGGGGGGGGGGGGGGGGAGGGGATGCATGCGAAGGTGACTCTTGAGTCGGCTCAAAAGTCTGCTGGTGATGTTGACAATGCACCAGAAAAGGCTGCAGGCTGCAGAAGTCAGTGGCAAAAGGCATGTGTGTGTAATGAGTCGATTTTTGAGTCGACTCAAAAAGTCAGTGGCAATAGGCGGGTGCGATGGGATCGAAGGTGACAGAGAAAGGTGTGGGTGGGGGAGGGGGGAGAAAGCACGCATGCGCAGACTAAAGCACAAGCAGGGGCACAAGCAGGGGCACAAGCAGGGGCACAAGCAGGGGCACAAGCAGGGGCACAAGAACTGCAGAAAAAGAGCAGCTTGTAACAGAGCATAGAAGAAAGAGCAGGACCCTGCTCCACTAAACATCACTCTTTGGTAAACAACAGGAAATCGAGCGTACAGATTGCATGGTGGGCCGTCGTGTAACCATTGAGTTCACTGGCCGGGAGAGCCGAGGAAGAGTGGAGGAGACAGCAGCACGGAGAATCGCCCGCTCCTCGTCAGTCTGGAAGATTGAAAAGACGTCGAACCAGAGTGTGAGCACCTGGGGGGAAGAGGGGGAGGGGAGGGGGGGTGGGTGAGGGGGGGGGATGCCTGACCAGAAATTATCAGGCGATTGCTCCTCGTCGGACTGGAAGACTGAAAAGGCGCCGAAGCAGAGAGCTGCCTTTTGAGTCGACTCAAAAAGAAGATTGAAAAGACGCCGAAGCAGATAGTGCGCACCTGGGGGGAGGAAGGAAGATGGCGGAGAGGACACGGGAACGGGAACTGTGGGGAGATCGTGCTTACTGGTCAAGAGAACTGTCTGGGAGTGGGAGGGGCAGGGAGGCACGGAGAATCGCCGGCTCCTTGTCGGACTGGAAGTTTGAAAAGATGCCGAAGCAGAGAGTGCGTACCTGGGGGAGGGCGGGGGGGAAGAGGGGGAGGAGGGGGGAAGGGGAGATGGGATCATGGGAGAGAAAGGATGACCGGAAGGCAATTAGGCGATCGATCTTCGTCAGTCTGAAAGGCTGAGAGACATCAAACCAGAGAGTGAGCAGAGCACCTGGCGGGGGTGGGGGGGGAGGAGGGGAGAGAGAGGGGAGGACATGGGAAGTGTGGAGAGAGATCTGTAGGAGTGGGGGAGGCAGCGGCATGAGGAATCGCCTGCTCCCCGCCCGTCTGGAAGACTGGAAACATGTCGAGCAAGAGAATGAGCACCTGGAGGGATGATGGGAGGGAGGGGGGGGGGTTTGGCATTTCCACCCGGAACATGAAAAGAGCCTGAGAAAGACGCATGGAACGATGAGGTGGAACCAAACCAAACCGGACCAAGGTAAGCTGAGTTTGTCTTGACAGCAAGAGGCAGTTTAACATACCAGAATCATCGCCTACCAGTTTAACCCCATAGAGGCAGGACGGATGTACAGGCAAGACCTCACCTCATTCCTAGGCATGTTCAAATTTCGGGCCTCGGGCCGGCCCGACCCGTGCGTGACGGTCCGGGCTGGGCCTGGTCGGGCTCGGGCCAGGCCGGCCGTTAAAGGTGGCTGTGGCCCCTGGTACATGGCGGGCGGGGGGTAGGCCCCGCCCTCGGGCTCGGGCCGGCCCGAGCCTGTAGGGCTTCCGTTTGGGCCCGAATTCGACCTCGTCATCGGTCCGCGCGGGCCACGGGCCGGCCCGGCCCAAGGCGGCACGGGGGTCAAGGGGGCCCGAGCCCGGCATAAAACCGGACTTTTGTCGGGCCGGCCCGGCCCGAGCCCGTGAGATGAACATCCACACTCATTCCCCTGCATGCACGACCACATGCCAGCAAGAGGCAGAAGATTTTTCAGGCGCCTAAAAAATGTACTCATTCCCCTGCCTGCATGCAAGACCACATACCAGCAAGAGGCAGACGCCCAGGATGATGAAGGGCGTCGATCCCTTGGGCACCTCCCGGCGTTGAATCAGTGAATGGCATCGCGTGAGGATGGGTGCTGATGCTGGTGACGTCAGCAACCCATGCCATCCATCGGCTCCTGGTGATGCTGACGTTATTGCTGCATGCCATTCGTCCTTTTTGGATGTAGATCCTGACGTCACTGGATGCTGCTGCTGTTGCAGAAGAAGCGGTTCCTGCTCATCCTGCCATTGGCCGTGATGCTGCTGCTGGCGCTGCTGCTCCTGCTGCTGCTGCTGTTGCTGCTCCGCTTGCTGCTGCTTCTGTTGAAGAGGTGGCTCCTGCTGCGGCTGGTTACTATGATGGTCCTGCCATTGCCATTGGCTGCGATTCTGCTGCTGCAGGCGCTGATGAGGGCTACCGTCACGGTGGCTAGGATTGTGTGTATGACGATCCGGATGGTGGTTACCCGGATGTCCTTTCTCCCTCTCCTCTCGTTCACCCTCTTTTCCCCCTTTTTCCCTCTCCACTTCCATTTCTGCCATTAGCAGTGTACCTGGTGTCGATCCCAAGGGATTTTGAGACCAACAGCTGTGCGCCACAAGCGGCGGATTCTAAAGCGCAATCTGGACCTTATGAGGCAATTTTCTCAAAAAGTCCCACTATTTAATTATCAAGGCCTGATGCCATCAACCTTGTGAGCAGTAACACTCGACCTAGCAGCTGCGTCCAACCGCGTACATGCTCGACAGCCTTGAGGGCCTCTCATTATGTAGCATTCTGAGGTCGCTCTCATGAAATGAGCTCACCTTTGCATTTAGGTCAAATGAGCTTAGGTCACACGAGGTCACAGCTGTTCCCCCTCGTGATTTAGGTTAAATGAGCTTAGGTCACACGAGGTCAGTCTTCCCCTCTCGTGATTTAGGACAAATGAGCTTAGGTCACACGAGGTCAGTCTTTCCCTCTCGTGATTTAGGTCAAATGAGCTTAGTAGGTCACACGAGGTCACAGTCTTTCCCTCTCGTGATCTAGGTCAAATATGCTGCTGCCTTAGTACGTCGTCGCTGCATGAGGGACGAGCTACGAACGTCGCCGCGTGAAAGCATGCATGCATGCATGTCAAAGCTCCTCAAAACGCGCCAAGCCGCACGCGGGAGCTCAGAATCGCGAGCTGACTTGTGAGTGAACTCAAAAGTCGCCCCAAGACGCACGCGGGAGCTCGGAATCGCGGAAACACAGCAGCACGAGGAATCGACTTGGCTGAAGAAACGTGGGGAATGAATCCCTGGCCTGCTGAAGGACCGTCCTGTGAAAGCTGTGTGCGGAAAAAAACGATATCAGTCCGGCTGATAGCTCCACTCGAGAGGCGTCTTGAGCGACGAGAGTCAGAAAACGCAGAGGGTCCATCAGGGGGTCCATCAGGGGGGACTATGATTGGGTCCGTCAGCGAGCCCATCGACTCCATTTCTCGGGGGACTCTTCGAGAACCGTTCTGAGCCTGAGACTCCCTCGCTCGCTCGTCACTCCCTCACTCGTCACTCGCTCGTCACTCACTCACTCACTCACTCACTCACTCACTCCGAGCCACTCCTCCGCTCCGAGAAAATCTCTGGAACGTTCTCCTCACGGCAGTCACCCACTCGTCTTTCATGGACGGCAGTTACTGTACCCCAAAAGAATGTGCGCCACTGTATCCACCACCACTCACATTCGTCGCGTACTGTAGGACAGTATTGTGCAGTAACACGTTTAGGACCGCTGCTCGCTAAAAGATGAGGTGAGCAAGCGAGCGAGCGAGTAAGCGACGGATGTGATATACGCACCGTCGCACGAGTTCGCGTCGTCACATCACAGCCGCGAACGAAGATAAGGTTTCGCCGACCTGGCACAAGCCGGCAGCGGGTCGCAGCGGGTAAATCGACGCCAGATCGGCAGGTGGTAACCGAACAGGGTCGACACGATAAGGGCCCGTCCAATTTTCCAATCGGTATGTACGTCGTAATGGCGCTTAGCGCGTATGAGAACTGTAGACAACATGTGGGTCGTTGTGGGCGCATTACTGTAATTTACACCTGATACGCATTCAAAAGTTACTTTATTTTAAAGCGGAAACATTTGTGTCGAGGACAACTATCAACACAGTTGGCCTTCTCGCGCGTATGTCGGACCAGGGTAAGGGGGTGTGTAAAGTGGGAACGGAGGCTTCTTGCCAATCCCAAACTCCATTTTTGGGTTGCGTAGCAACCTTATAAATTTGGTTTCATGTTTTCGTGCGCCAGGCTGTCCAATAACTTTAGGGCTACTACACTTGTAAAATGGTTGAATATTAATATTTTACACTCGCATAGTGTTGTTATAATACGACCCTTATGCTGTTTACTTTATATATGTTTTGCCTACCAATAGTCCGTCGATGAATACGGCGGACTAATGGTTTCAAAACATACATTCTGTCGCATTTTTGTCACACAAAATCAACCACGTCACATGGATCATACCACACCACCAAAAAAAAAAAAAACATAAAACTGCATGTTGAACATGCTCGCGCACAATAATGTGGTTGTTCATTAGGGATTGGGGGTTGTGTACGATTGGTACAATTCCACCGTCGAGAAATACGGCGGCAGAATCAAAGAACCGCACGCCAACACCAACCTTTTGAAACATCCACATACAATGCATATGTACAATAATATTGCGAATGCATTGAAGAGATACACGAAAGCTTTCATACTGCGATTGAGGTTGACATGCACGTTTTGAAAGCTTCGCTTTCAAGCCGACAACGACAACCACAATGTGCATGTTGCACTTGGCTTATATGCACCCCTCCATGACAAACGCGTACGAATGTACAATAATGTCGTGAATGCAATGAAGTCATGCACAAATGCTTCCGTGTTGCAAGCGTGGTTGACATGTACGTTTTGGAAGCAAAGCTTTCCAAGCCGACAACGACAACCACAATTTGCATGTTGCACTTAGCATATATGCACCACTCCAATACAAACATGACATTAAAAAATGCACGACCACAAAACAATAGGCACAGTATGCAAACGTAGAATGCTGCCATGAATACAATGACGTGATACACGAATGCTTTCGTGCTGCGAGGTTGACATGTACGTTTTGGAAGCAACGCTTTCCAAACCGACGACAACCACATTTTGCGTACTGCACTTGGCATATATGCACCACTCCAGTACAAATATGACACCACGATAACAGTAACGATTCAATCCATGCAATCCACATACTCACGAATAAAAAACACACGCATACACATATAATAAGGGAGGAGGGCGGAAGATAAGGGGAAGAGTAAGGGGGGAACCAAGAAGAGGACAAAGAAGATAGGGACCACACATCATGGGAGTACAAACACAACACACAAGAGAACTCTGAGAGAAACATGAAAGCCCAAATTTGCTGATCACTCAGATACTACTGGTTGCGGTGAAGCACACCCCCCCCTCTTCTCCTCCTCTCCTTACCTACTCTTTCTCCCCCCCCTTCCAATTCCAGCTTATCCCCTAAACCTCTCCCCCCCCCCCCACTCTTTGTCTTGGCAATGCACAAATGCAGTTACCAGTCGTCTCCATAGACCTGCACGCAACGGCGATAGGAAACAAACAGAATTTAAGGTTTAGAAAACCTATTGCAATAGTTGAACACTAGGTGCGCTAGCAATAAGTGCACTAATTTCGCCAAATGATTAAGAGATGGTAAACTAGTGGACAACGAACAAATGGGTTACCATTAGGAACGATTTCGGCCAGCGCGCTGACAGTTGGTTCGCTGATAGTGCACGGATGGTGAGTGCACGGCCAACTAGTGCGTGGACGACTATTAAGTGGGTGGCTAATGCACTGATGACTAGTATGCAAATGGCTAAAGCACAGATAGCTGGTGCGCATACAGCTAGTGTACGGACGGCTAGTGTGCCGAAGGCTAGTGTGCAGACGGCTAGTGCACACATAGCTAGTGCGCGGACGACAAATACGTCAATGGCTAGAGCACGGATGGCTAGTATGACGACGGCTAGTGCGCAGACGTCTAGTGCAAAGACACCTAGAGTGTGAACAACTAGTGTGCCGATGGCTTTTAAGTGGACGGCTAGTGCATTGATGGTTAGTGCGCGCACACTTAGTGTGGGGATGGAAAGCGCGCGCGTCAGCTAATGCGCCAACAAATTTTGTGGACGATTACATCTATGCAAACTACTACTTGAGCGCGGACGACTAGTGTGCGAAAGTCTAGCGTAAGGACGAGTAGGGCACAGACGTCTGGTGTGTGGACGTCTAATAAGCGGACTTCTAGTGTGCGGATGGCTAGGTGCTGCTAGGTGTTGCTAGGTGTTGCTAGGTGCTGCTAGGTGGTGCTACGTGCTGCTAGGTGCTGCTAGGTGTTGCTAAGTGCTGCTAGGTGCTGCAAGGTGCTTCTAGGTGCTGCTAGGTGTTGCTAGGTGTTGCTAGGTGCTGCTAGGTGCTGCTAGGTGCTGCTAGGTGTTGCTAGGTGCTGCTAAGTGCCGCTAGGTGCTGTTAGGTGCTGCTAGGTGCTGCTAGGTGCTGCTAGGTGCTGCAAGGTGCTGCTAGGTGCTGTTAGGTGCTGCAAGGTGTTGCTAGGCGCTGCTAGGTGCTGCTAGGTGCTGCTAGGTGTTGCTAGGAGCTGCTAGGTGCTGCTAGGCATTGCTAGGTGCTGCTAGGTGTTGCTAGGTGCTGCTAGGTGCTGCTAGGTGCTGCTAGGTGCTGCTAGGTGCTGCTAGGTGCTGCTAGGTGCTGCAAGGTGCTGCTAGGTGCTGTTAGGTGCTGCAAGGTGTTGCTAGGCGCTGCTAGGTGCTGCTAGGTGCTTCTAGGTGCTGCTAGGTGCTGCTAGGCGCTGCTAGGTGTTGCTAGGTGATGCTAGGTGCTGCAAGGTGCTTCTAGGTGCTACTAGGTGCTGCTAGGTGTTGCTAGGTGTTGCTAGGTGCTGCTAGGTGTTGCTACGTGCTGCTAGGTGCTGCTAGGTGCTGCTAGGTGCTGCTAGGTGCGGCTAGGTGCTGCTAGGTTCTGCTAGGTGCTGGTAGGTGTTGCTAGGTTCTGCTAGGTGCTGCTAGGTGTTGCTAGGTGTTGCTAGGTGCTGGGGTGACTATGTGAAACAAGAACAAAGAGCTTGAGAAGTGCAAAGGAAACGCCAGAAGGGGTTGGTCTTGGCGAGTGGTAGAGGTTGAGGGCTCACAGTAAGGTGCGAGAGGATGCGAGCTCGGGTGGCGAGTGAGTTCTTGCTTGATGCCCTGAGAAAGCAAGTCTGAAATGGTACAAGAGTGAAACGAGGGAGGAGGAGGGGAAGCAGGGTGAGAGGGAAGGAAAAGGTTCGTCGGTGAAAAAAAATGGGAGGATATGCAAACTATATTGAAAAAAAACATTGTGCAAGGGGTATAAAGAAACAACTGCAGTGGAGGAGATGGAAAAGAAACAAGCCAACGAGCGGAAGGGAGGGAAAAAGGGTAGTTGGGGGGCTTAGGAACCATCGCGCACGACACAAATGAGATAGCGCGATGTGCGGACGTAGCACAGAAACGGCTGCGCCAGAGCGCCAACAGGCCGCGCCACGAAGCGCGGCGCATGTGCGCATAAGGCCAGCGCGCGCACGGCGCCAGAGAGGGCCGCGCCAGAAAGCGCGGCCCCTGCGCGCACGGCACCCGCCCGCACGGCACCAGCGAGCCGCGCGCCAGAAAGTGCGGCGCCACCGCGCACGGCGTCCGCGGACACGGCGCCAGAGAGGGCGGCGCCTGTGCGAATGGCGTCAACGCGCAAGGTGCCAGGGAGGGCCGCACCAGAAAGCGCGGCTCTTGCGCGCACGGCACCAGCGAGCCGCGCGCCAGAAAGCGCGGCGCCTGCGCGAACGGCGTCAGCACGCACGGCGCCAGAAAGGGCTGCGCTAGAAAGCGCGGCTCCTACGCGCACGGCGTCCGCGCTCACGGCAGCAGAGAGCCGCGCGGCACCTGCGCGCACGGCGTCCGCGCTCACGGCACCAGAGAGCCGCGCGATGAAAAGCGCGGCTCCTGCGCGCATGTCGTTCGCGCGCACGGCACCAGAAAGGGCCGCGCCCGAAATAGCGGCGCCTGCGAGCACGGGGCCTGAGAGGGCGGCGCTACTAAGCGAAAAAACGGCGCTCACGGCGCCAACGAGCGTGGCAAGCTGCAGTTAATGGAACATATATAACTAAGACGAGCTAACAGCAGTGAAGAAGATGATGAAAAGAATCACGAACCAAGAAAAGTAAGCTAGCTATGAGCTTGGTAAGGCACGACGCAGAGGGGTAAGAAGCTGACATTGTGAGAGCCAAGTTAGACGGTGCAAGAACGAGCAAGAACGAGCTATGGAGGAGTTGGCTAGTGAGTCGAACAGGAAGGAGGGAGGGACGAAGAGTGCCGTGACTCAGCGCTGGGGAGCGTTCGCCAGCGTGGGAAGGCAAGCTCACATCAGCACAGTTACGAAATTTATGGAAGGCATCATTCTACACCAAAGGGAGTGTTACGAAAACGGTTGCTCATAGTATAATATTTTGGTCTACTTAAAAAAAATGCATCGAAGATTCACCGGCATTTTTAATAATAAAAATATGAGACAATTTAGTATTCTTAAAATTTTGAAATCCAGTCGTAGTAGGTTTTCTCCTTGTTTTGTATTATTACAAAAATATAGCCTATGTAAAAGAGTATGCATATAAAAAAATAGGTCTTCAGTTCTAAGAGAAACAACCTTATAAAGGTGAGCCACGCAACCTTTCCGACGCTAAGCGTCGAATCTTGTTTGTTGTTTGTTGTTTTATTTTGGGTTGCGGAGCAACCTATTGCAATCGATCGGGCTGGTTTTTTTTTTCAAGTTTGTGAAATAAAAATCAAATGTTTGTTGTGATGGAAATAAAACATTTTATGTATAATAAAGTCTCATCATGAAATGCTCCGCAACCCTAAGACCATCTCGTAGCCTCTTGTTTTTTTTTTTCCCCCCCTTTTTTTCCCCCCGCCTGTAAGTTTAGGCCAATCGTATGCACGAGATATGCGCATTAAAAAGCGTGGATTCGGGCCAAATGTTTTGCGCAAACATCTTCACGCATGTTGGAAAACATTTGACTGCTCGTTGTCCACGTACCAGAACAACTCAGCACGAAAAGTGTAAACGCGTTTCGCCAATCTCAACGAAGTTACGAAGGGGCCAGCCCGGCCAGCACGAAGTTGCGAAGGGGCCAAGGTGTTTTTCGTGCAGGCGAATAGCCGTCGTTAGTTATAAATTCTAACTTCACATGGGTTTCGTGGGGCATTGTAGTCTCCAACCTTTTGTTCCTCCTGGAGACAGACCAAGAGGGCAGAAAAAACGGAGTTTGTGAACAAAGCTACCCTAAGTGTCAAGAAATTAAGAGTTGTCTAGACCCTGAACCTGGATTTTCACAGGCTGGGTTCTGCCAAATCTCTGAATCTGGCCGAATCAATGAGCCTTGAAATTCGGATGCATTCCGTGACAGGTTTTCATGAAACCTGACGGACTAGTCTCGCAGCATGGCGTTCAGCAAGGAGAAAATCCCTCCGCCACTGCGTGGAGAAAAAATCTCCGTCACGAACATCAAAGGTTGATTTCGGGTTTGGGACTTAGCTTTCTTTTCAATTGCTCCGTCATCTGCGCCCTAAACATTAGACTAGAAGGCAGAAAATCCCTTCCGCTTAGGCAGAGTTACCGCTCGGAAAACTTGTAAGGATTCCGAGTGAAAACCCCTTGGATTCCGGAAAATTTTGGGTATGATTGGATCATAACTCAGCACCTTCCGAAACTCCCTGGGCCCTAGCGTAAGCCCTGTTCGCAACACGCCTTTTGGATGTTGGAAAAACGCTCTGGAACACGGAAACCGCACAGGTCTCCGCTCAGGACGGCTCGTGCTGATCACATTGTAGAATGTATGCGGAGATTCTGCTCACTGTTGACGACAACCATGCAAGTTTCTTTGATGGTCAAATTATGTGTTATTACTGGAAAATGACGCGCAATTTTCCAGACCTAGAAAAGCTAGGCAGTTATTACCCTTGACCATCACATGCCATGTTGCGTCCTGTACACGTATTCTCTCCACCACTGCATAGCAACAGCTCACGCAAAGGAAGAGGCCACATTAGGCAGAGAAACATCACACCGAATCAGCACAGCCTAATGATGCACGATAAACATCGTATGCATGTAAATCCTAAGCATGTACCGCTCCTCTCCTCTCCTCTCACCTTGTGAGCGGCAAGAAGAAACGTTACATCGAGGGGATGTGTGCGCACATAGTGCATTCTGCATGCCTCCACTGTCGAGTGGTGAAAGTACTTCACTGGGTCGGCTACTAGCAGTGTCTGGGTGCACTCGTTGATGTCCCGTTTTATTATGCCCTGGGGGGTGGGGGAGAGGGGGGAGGGAGTATATGTTAATTCCATATGTGCTTAAACGAGTCACCAACTTTGGCCAATGGTTGTCTGCGTTAGGTCAATGAGGTTCGCAAACAACGTTCTAAGAGCGTGTTCCTACACCTCTTATCAGGCACGCCTCACATCAGACGTGTGCGGTACTGTACAGCACAATTTTTACGCGAGCTTGGGTAGTGCGGTTTGGAATGGTGGAACCCGAGTCTGAAAAGAGGTTTTCCATATAAGAGCTTCAAGGAACACGCTCTAAGCCTATATATTGACCCACTCTATCCTACTCACATTAGAAAATACTCGCCTACTCACATGGAAGTGGTGGTGCATGAGGATGTCAGTCGAGAGGTCCTTGCCGCCCGAATTGGGGTCCTGAACCACGTGGTTCTCCACCACTCGCACCTAGGAGAGAAGCGGGTGGGGAGGAGGAAAGGGGGGGGGGGGGGGGGGGGGGGGGGAGAAGGAAGGAGTGGAGGATGAGAAGCTGGTCCATGTGAAGCGGACAGCACTTGGTTCTTGAACCGCGTGGTTCTCCACCACTCGCACCTGGGAGAGAGTGGGGTGGAGGGGGGTGGGAGAGGATAAGAAAAACTGTGAGGTGGTTACAGGGGGGTGTGCGCAGAGAATAGAACATGCTACTCCCTCAAGGGTCTGTAACCACGTGGTTCTCCACCACTCGCCCTGCGATAGAAATGGGAGGGAAGAAAGGGAGGGGCGGAGGGGGTGGGGGGGGCGGGGAAGGGAAGAAGAGGTGAGGGGGATGAGAAGGCGGTTTATGTGAAGAGGTGCCCACCTTAGGTTAGCGCACCTTCCTTGGATGGACTCGACAACCAGCTCGAGGTGCCCATGGTAGTCGAGACACACCTTCGGATCCGTGGCATAAGCAAGCGCATCTGATGACTTGTTGGGTTGACAAACAGCTTGCGGTGCTTGTAGCAGTCAAGGCACATCGTGGGGTCTGTGGTAAGGACGCACTCGCCTTAAGACGTCACAGCACATGGTATGGTATCAAACCTTCCACGGATCGACTAACAGCTTGCGGTGCCCATCATATTCCAGGCACATCTTGGGGTCCATTGTATGGGACATACTCGTTTGAAGGCATCTCAGCACATGGTATAATACCCTCCTTACCTTCCTTGGATCGACAAACAGCTTGCGGTGCCCATAGTAGTCGAGGCACATCTTGGGTTCCGTGCTGTTGTCCTTCCCCTGGCAGTAGACAACTGGCCAGTGCCACAGCATGCGCTCCAGTGGCCAGCGGGGGTCTGAAGTATGGGCGCACACACAGGCAGGAGACAAGGAGAGAAACAGCTTGCGGTGGCCATAGTAGTCGAGACACATCTAGGGATCTGAGGTGTTGTCCTTTCCCTGGCAGTAAACAACAACCGGCCAGTGCCACAGCATGCGCTCCAGACCACTGGCCATCCGGGGTCTGCAATATGCCGGGGAAAGAAGATGGCATGAGGCAAGGAGGCAGTTACTGATTTTGCAGGGTGTTTTTGAGAATTCTCAAAAACACCCGGCAGTAAGTCTCCAGAGAGAGGCTGAATCAGAGGCTGATAAGGAGCGGTAGAAGGAGTGCATGGTGTGGCAAACGGGATGCATTTTGAGTCGACTCAAAATATTTTGAGTCGACTCAAAATACATATGGAGCAGCAGAAGGAGTGCATGGTTAAAGGGATGCAAACTGCCTTCAAACGGCAGGCAGTGCTTGTGGTCCCACCAGACGCTCCCATGGCTGACATAGGGCATGCCCTCGTAGAGAGGTGTGAGTCCCCCTGAATCAGCTACCGTTGCAGCATGAGAAACATAAGATATATAGGAAGCATACCTTGAGGTCCTTCAGAGGGCAGGCAGTGCTCGTGGTCCCACCAGACGCTCCCATGGCTGACATAGGGCATGCCCTCATAGGGCATGAGGAAGTGATGCACGCTCAGAGGGGTGGGCATGCGCTCCTGGAGTGTGGAGGCATAGCAAGGGAGGCATGTGAGGCGAAGGGATTGATGGAGGAAAGAGAGACCTCCCTAGGGCATGCGGAAGTGATGCACGCTCAAAGGGGTGGGTGTGCTATGCGCTCTTTGAGTGTAAGGTGCACGTAAGTTGCGGAGCCAGGGAAGGGCAAGGACGAATTATAGGGATTGTAATCGGAAAAAGTGGAGGAAAAAAGGGGATGATAGGGGGATTATACAGGGTAAGGTAAACAGCGGAAATGTGCGCACATACCTGCCCATTAATAAACATGTACTCGTCGTAGTCAAGGAACATGAGCCACTTGGAGAGGCAGCGGAATCGATACACACAGTCATTGAGTATCATGACCTGACAGGTTGGAGAATCGAAGGGAGGAGTGTGTAATGAGTCGATTTTTTAGTCGACTCAAAAATCGACTCATTACACACGGATTACAGAGTCATTGAGTATCAGGACCTGACAGGTTGGAGAATCGAAGGGAGGAGGAGGAAACTTTGAGCAACAGGAACAACCACCCACTTGGAGAGGTAGCGAATTGAGTAGTCTGTACAGGAACTGGCACCATTGTATGCCTCACCTGCCCATGGTACCATGACTCATAGTTCACCACATCACGGAAATTTGTGGTCTCCGTGATCCCTCCATCTACGAGCGGCTGTAAGAGCGGGGAAAGAAGAGTGGTTATGGCGGGGAAAGGAGGGACGACTGATTTTGAAGCAGGGGAAACACAGCATAAGTTCACTAAGTCACGAGCTCAAAAGTTCGTAGGTTCATAGCAGTGAAGAGAAATAGCTGCCGAGACAAAACTAAAGAACCATGTCAAAAACCATGGGAGAGGGGGAAGGTGAGCAGCAGGAAGCATATTTTTGAGGCGCCTGAAAAGGAGCATGAGCGATGGAGAGCCTGAATGAATCCTCGTTTGAGGCGTCTCAAAACGTGAGCGCCAAGGTGCCTATCTTAATCAAGTTTTGAGGCGCCTCAAAACTAGACTCCGATCACGCTAGAGTCTGAATGAAGTCAAGCTTTCGAGACGTCTCAAAACGTGGGCCTGAAGGTGCTCACCTGAATCAAAGTCCGCAGGTGGTCGTCCACCCCGCCCACATCGTACATGGCATAGTGGTCCACACCCATCCGTATGTGCACATCCATCCATTGGTAGATGCGCTCCGCGTTCACCTGCAGCCATGCCCCCATGCCTCATGCCCCATGCCCCATGCCCCATGCCCCATGCCCCATGCCCCATGCCCCATGCCACATGCCCCATGCCCCATGCCACATGCGCAACACATGTCATGTCACATAAACTGTTCCCCATGCCCTGTTAGTGTAAAGACAAGGGCAGCTTAGGCAAAGCGTTGAGGGGAAATTGTTGAGAAGGCATGTCTGGTGGCATATGGGGAAGGGAGGTGATGAGTGAGTGGGGGAAGAGCAGTGAACATACCTGGCCTGGCCATGAATGGGGGGGAGCAGTGGCCCAGTGCATGACGTTATAGAGGAAGGGAGGATGGGCCACAACAGCAGGAAGGTGCATGGGGGGAAACACACCTGAATCCTGTCCTCATGGTTTATATGGTGGTGGGGAAGTGTAGCATACCTGACCGTGAATGGGCGGGGAGCAGTGCGTGACGTTGTAGAGGAAGGGAGGATGGGCCACGGCACTGACCACCTCCCCAACCTGCTCCTCATACACCACCACGTCCTCGCCCTCTATGCTCATGTGCAGCCTGCCTCCATCTGCCATGTATGCCTCCCTGCCACGTATTGCATGGTTTGGGTTGGGACATGGCCCATGGGTCAGAATCATACTTCTTATTGGCTATATATGCCTCCCTGCCAAGAGGCACAACAGAAGGCATGGGGACATGTGGATAAACAGGCGCACTACTGACCGAATGCTCCTCATACACCACCACATGCTCGCCCTCTATGCTCATCTGCAATGTCCCTCCATCTCCCAAATATGCCTCTCTGTGCATGCACCACACAAGGCATGGGACACGGATAATGGGACACACTATTGACTAGCTGCTGCTCTTAACACCCCACCCACCACCACGTCCTCCCCGTTTACGCCCATGTGTTCCTCCCACTGTCTTATTACCTGCACATCAGGATCCAATGAGCAAACTCTACTCACTCCTCTCACACTCTCCTCACTCTTCTTCTCACTCCTCTCACAACCTCCTCACTCTTCTTCTCACTCCTCTCACACTCTCCTCGCTCACCTCTTGAGCGTGCACAGCAGAACCAGCCCGGCATATTTCAGCGAATGGTGTTCCCCCACGTGTAGCGCCTCCACCTTGCCATGTACCCACCCCCTCTCATCCACCTCCACCTCTTTCAAACTCCTCTCCCCTCTTCTCTCCTCCTCCCACCTCTCCTCCCCCCTCCTCTCCGCCCCCCCCCTCTCCTCCGTCCTCAGCACTTTTCTCCTCTCATAATCCCTCGTTCCACCTCTGTGCCTCACATAATTCGTCGCCCCTCCTCTATGTCTCTGCTCCCTTCCTCCTCCCACACTATCCTTAACCATCACCCTCCTCCTCCCACTGTTTCTCCCACCCTCTGACGCGGCACCTCTGCTTTCCTCTCTTCTTATTTCCTCACCCCTCTCCAACTCTCCCAGCCCCCGCCCCTCTGGTTTCTCCGTCTCCCACATGCATTCGCCGACCTGCCAAAGATCGCAACACACCGCACGCACAAGATTGTAGCAGCAGACTGCGCGCTAACACATGGCTTACTATGAGACGCTATGCATTGCAACAAAGTGTCACGCACACTAGAAAGAAGTACAGTGCAATGCAAAATACTGCATCCTATGAGAACGCTCCATGGTCATCTTGCTCCTCCCTGCTTTCGCCTTTCTCTCATTTCTGGCTATGAGCAGCCAGCCCAACAACAGCAACCTGGTTGGGGGGTTTCACTCGCTTTGATCAGTACCATACTCCTCCCAGTCCTCCCCCCACCCTCACCTTTCTCTCTTTGTCCAGAGCACGAGCAGCCAGCCCCACGACCGCAAACTGGTTGGCAGCAATTCGATACGCGGAGAACTGAGCGAAGGACACCAGCCCCACATGCCGGAACGCATGCTACTGCCACCTGGCCGGGTGAAAGAGAGAGATTCTTCGTGTCCCACGATCATGCTCTTTGGCAAGACGACTGCCTGGCAAGGGCCCTCCTCTCCCCACCTTGTGCATTCCTTAACACCAATCTTACCCATCCCTCCCTCACCTTTCTCTCTTTGTCCAGGGCGCGAGCCGCCAGCCCCACGACAGCAAACTGGTTGGCGGCGATTCGATATGCGGAGAACTGAGCGAAGGACACGAGCCCCACGTGCCTGAACGCATGCTGCTGCCACCTGGCCGTGCTGCTGCTATCATCGCTGCTGCTGCTGCTGCTATCACTGCCGTCACTGCTGCTGCTGCTAGCACCTGCTGCTGTTGTATCCACTCCTCGTGATGGTGGTAGTGAGCCTGGGAGCGTCACAGGCTGACGAGGTCAGGGGCAACAGGTGGGAATAAAGGTGACTGTAAAGAATGGTTGGTGTGAGTGACTTTTGAGGCGAATCAAGAATCACCTAAAGATGTAATGAATATGAAGAGCAGGTGGTAGGCGGCGAAAAGCGATGAGGGGGAGGGAGGAAGGGAATGCACATGCAGGTTGCAGCACAAGCGGGAATACACGTATAATAAATAGCAGTGACACGAGCAGAGCATGGTATAGGGTTTCAGCTGAATGCTTACAGCTGGCACACGGATAAGCGCCTGCTCGTCGCCGGCTTGGAAGAGTGAGAAGATGTCAAACCAGAGAACGAGCACCTGGGGCGAGAGCGAGAGTGGGAGGGAAGGGGATAAGATGGGTCAGTTGTCTGAAGAAGTCACGCGAAAGATTGAGCTGAGAGGCAGCTGAACCAGACAACAAAGCATGCCTGAAGGAAGCATAACGGTAACAGAAAGATAAAGTGCCAGAAACGTATTCCAGTTTAAACACATTATTCAGGCACGACCGACCACATACCAGCAAGAGACACGCGCCCAGGATGATGAAAGGTGCCGAGCCCTTCGGCAGCTGGGGGGATAAATGGGAATCGGAAGAGGAAAGCAAAGGAACTCCTTGGTTTGACATTTGGCAGCTTAAAACGTAATAGGGAAGGAAGAAAATGGAAACCAAGATGACTGGCGAAATAGTCATGTGGCTCTCTTATGTTATGGATCGCAAGACATGACAAGGGGCGACTAGGCTCTCGATTCATGGCTAAATGCTCATGTGGACTGTTAAGGTCTTAGTGCATGGCGAAGAACATTTAAGAACATCTCTAAAAATGGGAAAGAACACATTCAATAAGGATCAAGATCACAAATGATATGACGGTGGTAAGGGAGAGGGACGGCACCTCACGGCGTCGGATGAGGGAATGCCATCTCTCGATGATGGGTGCTGATGCTGCTGACGTCAGCATCCCATGCCATCCGTCAGCTGCTGACGGTGATGCCTGAGTCATCAACGCATGCCACTCCATGGATGAGAATTCTGAAGTCAGTGGCAGCTGATGCTGCTGCTTCTGCTGCTGCTGCTGCTGCTGCTGCTGCTGCTGCTGCTGCTGCTGCTGAAGAAGCAGCACCCGCTCATCCTGGCATTGGCCGTTATCATGATGGTTAGGGTTACCATCAAGGTGGTTAACATTACCCTCAAGCTCGTTAAGGTTACCATCAAGGTCGTTACAGTTGTGCTCATGCTGATGCTCTTGACGGCTATGGTGATCCGTGAGTCCTGATCCCTCCCCATCAGATGGGGTTATTGATGCTCCTTTCCCGCTTCTGGTCCTTCCTCTGCACTCGTCCCTCCTGTCCTTCGCATTGCTCTTCCCTTTCTCTCTTCCCCTTCCCTTCTTCCTCTCCTGTCGTTCTCCCTCACCCCCCCTCTCACGACTCTTTTCCCTCTCCACCTCTTTTCCTGTCATTAGTAGCTCGTTTTCTCCTCAAGAAGAGGAGATTAACTCGATTGGGAGCTTATACGGTGAATAAACTCGAGAATCTCCAAATTCGAGCTATTGAGCATTAATCGATTTCGTCAAGTGTAACACTTGAGATGCTAGCGGCTAGCAGTCTGACCGGTTCCAGCAGCGTAAGACTCTTACGACAGCACTGAGAGCCACTCATAATCTGACACCACACCGCATTTCGAGGTCGTCTAACGAAATTAGGTCACATGCTGTCGCTCTCATGAAATCGGGTCATAGAATGTCGTAAAATAAGGTCAACGTCAGTCGATCTCATATATATATGCCAGAGGCTGTCATGAGATGGCACATTCTGTCGCACTCACGAAATCAGACCATAGTCTGTCGCTCGCTCTCATATACTTATCGCCTCGTAGCGTCGCTCGTAGCAGGAGGAGCGACTACGATGAAATGTACGCGTTTCGAGGCGCCTCAGAACGCGAAAGAGATGTACATAAGGCGGATCACAAAGTAGAAGAACGAGAACTGATTTCTGAAAATGGAGCCGGAAGACTGAGCTCTGGGAGTGGACTGTCAGTCACGGAATCGACTGTCAGTCAGTCTGTCAGAAAATGAATTGTCGGTCGGGGAATGGGACTGCCAGTCGGGAAATGAGACTGTCCGTCAGAATAAGGTGCGTCGGTCAGGACAGACTGTTACCCACAAAATGGACTGTCAGTCAGTGGATTGTCCAAAGCTTGCGTAAAGTCGTGTTGTTGAAAAGAGTTATAAATCCGAGTGAGCATAACTCCATTCCTCGGGATGTTCGTGCAGTCAATGTCAAGAGGGACGCGGAGACTCATCAAGAAGTCCACTATTACAGTAGCTGGAGGCCCTGGGAGAGCCACTGACGGTCACTCGTCCGCTTCACTGCTTGAAACTCTCTGAAGCGAACAAGAAGCTACTGTGCTGTAACCAGCAAAGGACGATTGTCCTTGCACGCAGTGGAGCGAGCGGCAGCACGCGTTTTTGCGAGGCGATATCACAGCCGCAAACGAAGATAGGGTATTGCTGACCTGGCATCAGTCGGCAGGTGGACTTCCTGCCGACTCGTGCCAGAACGGCAGGTTGTAACTATTGAAGAGAGCCGGCAGTTGCGTGTGTTAGTTGCTCAGAACCGTTTCTAAACAACAAAAACCGCACTAAAACGCGAGGCTTGTCAGCGTGAAAGTTTATTCGCTATGAAAGTATCCATGCTCAAGACTACTACGCTACTCAAAATTCTTTTCCCTTCCAGACTATGTATGTATGCATCTACTTTTCCTGTGTCAGAAACAATTATTCTCAATGCAAGGAAGCGTTTAAAATATATCAACAGCTCCAATATAAACTTATAGATTCCCTGTAAAAATATTTCGCCATAATGTGTCTCTAAAATTGATTTGCCCAATTATACCGGTAGACCAACAAGTTGGAAGTACAGACCTAATGCTGCCAACATTGACAGCTCAGTGTTCTCGGTCATCCAAAAATTGCATTATGGTAGTAAAAACGGCTCTTTGTCATGCGCTTGCGATTGGGGGCTGTTTGAAAGAAATAGTGCACTGCTGTCTTTTTTCTACAGCTATACCGTGACAGTAATGCATCTCTCTCTAACGCAACGTAGTACTGTATCTACCTTTCCTTGTATCTTCCCGTTCCTTACGTCAGAGTTGTGTCAGAGGCGACGTGGCTCCTTGGACAGTACTGTAATAGGACTACAGTACTTGTGAAACTTCTTCTCGGTTGTGCTGGTTTCGGTCTCTTCTGAGTAGCCTTTTTATTACCCAATACTTTACCTCAGACTACAGGTCTGTTACGCGTAAACAGTCGCGCTAAGTCGCAGCAGACTATCGCAGGCCGTTCGCTAGCTTCTCCAGCCGTTCCGCCACCTTTTCGCCCTTTTCTGCCAGTTCGCGTCGCCGCTAGCCGCTAGCGATCCACCAGGGTTCTTAGTCTCAGCGCGGTTCCCATTTCCTCTCGTCGCCCGCCTTTCCGCCTTTTCCGCGATTCGCCGCCATGCAGCAGCTGAGATCGCGCGCCGCCGCACTCACCGAGAGGCACGCGTTTCACCCTCGGTGAGAATCTCGTTGAGAATCTCGGCGGTAACCGAGGGGGCATGCTGTCAACTCGTTTCCCACCTCGGTCACCGCCGGTGCGATTCGCCGGTGCCCTCTAATCGTCTCCTCTAATCGTCTCCTCTAATCGTCTCCTCTAATCGTCTCCTCTAATCGTCTTTTCTAATCGTCTCCTCTAATCGTCTCCTATAATCGGCGTCTCCTCTTCTCTCTCATCCCCTTTCTCTTTTCCCAGCCTCTCTCCTCTGCTCTCCCGCACTTTCCACGCAGCTTCCTACCATGCGTCTGTCCACGTCTTCCCGTGTATGGCGGAGGAGCGTGAGGGCCAGGGAGGAGGCTCGGCAGTTGCAGGCTCGGCACCAACACCAGCAGGTTCGGCAGCAGCAGTAGCGGGAGGAGGAGCGGCAGCATCAGCAGCAGGAACAGCAACAGCTGAGGCCGTCAGGCAGAATCTAAACAGGCAAGGATCTCGATGGAACTAGTTTTGAGGCGCCTAGATTTGAGGCGCCTAGTTTTGAGGCGCCTAGCTTTGAGGCGCCTAGCTTTGAGGCGCCTAGCTTTGAGGCGCCTAGCTTTGAGGCGCCTAGCTTTGAGGCGCCTAGCTTTGAGGCGCCTAGCTTTGAGGCGCCTAGCTTTGAGGCGCCTAGCTTTGAGGCGCCTAGCTTTGAGGCGCCTAGCTTTGAGGCGCCTAGCTTTGAGGCGCCTAGCTTTGAGGCGCCTAGCTTTGAGGCGCCTAGCTTTGAGGCGCCTAGCTTTGAGGCGCCTAGCTTTGAGGCGCCTAGCTTTGAGGCGCCTAGCTTTGAGGCGCCTAGCTTTGAGGCGCCTAGCTTTGAGGCGCCTAGCTTTGAGGCGCCTAGCTTTGAGGCGCCTAGCTTTGAGGCGCCTAGCTTTGAGGCGCCTAGTTTTGAGGCGCCTAGTTTTTATGCGCCTAGCCTTGGAGGCGCCTAGCTTGGAGGCGCCTAGTTTTGAGGCGCCTAGTTTTGAGGTGCCTAGTTTTGAAGCGCCTTGTTTTGAGGCGCCTAGTTTTGAAGCGCCCGGTTTTGAGGCACCTCAAAACTTGATCAGCAGCAGGAACAGCAACAGCTGAGGCCGCCAGGCAGAATCGAATGAACGGGCAAGAACGCAACAGGCAACAGGCAAGGGTCTCGATGGGCCTTAATGAAGCAAGAGAAGAAGGGCTCGTTCCTTTTCGCAACCTCTTGTCGTCAAGTTAGAGTCATGCTTGAGTCGACTCAAAGGCTGAGTGAGTTTTTTTATAATTCTAAAAAAAACTCTCCCAGTCGACTCAAAAGTCAGATCGTTCGAAAATTGGGCTGCTGGAAATCAATTAACCGCGTCCTCCTGACCCAACGCGATTCCGTTTTCTTGTTGAGTCTCCTTAATCTCTCCCCGGCACAAATTTTTCCAGGCTTCTGAGAAAAATGGCTGCGGGAAACAAGTGAGCGCGTCCTGCTTCTCATTTATCCCATTCCGCTCGTTCTCGTCTACGTCTCCTTTATTCCGCCGACACCGCTCTCCCCATACTCACAGGCTGAGGTATCGCAGCAGGCAGAGGGGCTATCTGGAGCTGGACCTGCTGCTGGGCAAGTGGGTGGACGAGCATCTCCCTTCCCTAGATGACCCCCAATTGAGGGCTCTCGCACGGCTCATGGACGAGGTAAGTGGTTTTCTCACCGCAGCAGGCAGAGGGTTTCCTGGGGCTGGATCTGCTGCTGGGCAAGTGAATGAGCCCCCCAAGTGAGGGCTCTCGCACGGCTCATGGACGAGGTAAGAGTGGGTGTGTACGAGACAGGAGGAAAAACCGTTCTTCGGGTTGTGTTCTTCTGGAATGCCCCCCTTCTGTCTTTTCCCACCTGATTGCACAAACCTGATTCTCCTTACCTGTCTGACCGTACCTGGTATGCCTTTGCACCCACTGCTGCATACCTATCCCCCTCCTCGGCCACATCCAGAAGAGTCCCGATCTCTTCAAGTGGTTCGGGCCAGCAGCAAGCAAGCCCGCCAGCATGCTCACCCTTCTTGCTCGTGGCACATCACATGCCCCCTCGATGCTCCATATACCCATGTCCTCGTATCTGCCGCAACCAGAAGAGCCCAGATCTCTTAAGTGGTTCCCGGGGCAGCAGCATTCTTGACCTCTTTGACTTCACTAATCCCCTCCAACTTCTCTGCATACCGACCCCCCGTTCCTGCCGCAACCAGGAGAGTCCGGATCTCTTCAAGTGGTTCACAGGCCAGGAGCAAGCCCCACAGCACGTTGTTGAGAACCCGGTAAGCAAGTTGGCCAGATCTCCTTCCCCCTTGGGTTATATTTCGAGACTTACTTCCACGTCTCACCTTGGGATCACAGGACTTACTTCCACGTCTCACCTTGGGTTCTATCACTGGACTTACTTCGGCGCCTTTGCTTTCCTGCTTTCTCAAAAGCGCATGCATGTTCTTCTCCTTGTTCTTTTTGGTAGCTCTCAACACTTGATGTTTTCTTCTTTCCTCAGGAAGCTACATCTGATAAATCCAGCAGTCAAGTCACGTGACTCCCCCCTCTCTGTCCACCACTCTATCGCCCTCCCTTCTCCCAGGTGTACCACTCTATCCGCGCCAAGGTGGACACGAAGCTTCATCTGATCAACCCAGCAGTCAAGGCCACGCCGGGCATGCCGTGGGTGAGGTGGTGGGAGGACGTGCAGAGGCAACCGGGCACACCCCGTGCAGGGAACCAGTAGGGATGTAGAAATGACCGTCTCAAACTTGAAGCTGCTTGCAGAAAGTGTGCATCTGATGAATCCTGCGATCAAGGCACTGCAAGGCATGTCATGGGTGAGGGGATGGGAGAACATGCATGTACCTCTCCCACAGGGAAGCATTAGGGATAGTGGAGAACGGGGTCCTTTTTTGGACCCTGGAGGTTGGTTGGTGCACTCCTGGGCGGACGAACCTTAGGTCTCTCAGCTATCGTGAGCAGTTTGCCTTCCTGTGCAGGGTTTCAGCTAGGATTTTAGGCCGTCTGACGTTCAGACGGGGTTTCAAACTTTCGTCTGACCATCATACGAATCTTTTTTGCCGGTCTGGCATTTCAGACGAAACATTTGGCACGATCTGACAATTCAGACGAAACGTTGCGGGAGTTTTAGTATATAACAATGCCGAATGTGCTACATTATAGTGCTACACAAACAACTGTTACACGTCGTCAGCATCCATTGAAATTGCATCTACCGTATATGCTAAGAATAGCTGGAAAAAACTCTAGTGCTACTGATGCTCCACTACCACAACCTACATTAGGAATTAGCCTTATACTAAACCATGCTGTGCCATACCATCATCTGCCTACTCGGAGTCTGAACTATCACTTCCGACCTCCTCGATGTCATCATCATCACTGTCACTCTCTGAGACTTGCACCTTCTTGCCCTTGCTTTTCCTCCTCCAGATTGGGCCAGCCGCACCATCCTCTTCAAACACTCTGGCTGCTTCTGCTGCTGCTAGCGCTTCTGCCTGCCTGGCTGCTTCTGCTGCTGCCTTGGCTGCTGCCTTTGCCGCCTTCAATGCCGCCGACGTCTTGGGCCGCTTCACCTGCCGTGCGGTCTGATCCATGACAACTTCCTTGGCAGGTCGCCGCTTCTTCGTTCCACGCCAGCTAGCCACCATACTCCCCCAGTCCATCGGGTAGTCGAGCAGCGACACCGTCATCAAGTGGCCTAGCTTCGCATCACCGAGATTGCCGCGCTGCCAGCTTTTGATGACGTTCTGGCGGCTGAACCCGCGCTCACACTCCACTGTGCTGAGCGGCAGCACGGCGCAGGCAATCCAGATGAGAACCAAATTCGGGTAGGCAGTCATCCAGTCCGGCGTGGAGAGCACGTTCTTCAGCGCATCGTGGAAGCCCAGCTCGTCGTTGTGTGTCGACATAATGGTGGTGAAACTGATGAGCTCGGCCTTCGCCTTGCCCCAGTGGACACCTGAAGGGGGGGTGAAATAGAGGCACAGAAGCCTTCGTTAAATATCTCAACCAGAAAACACCCGAGCCATGAAGACACTTACAACCCCTTGGAACTCACCCGGCAGAGTGTCGGGCGCTGACGCATCACGCTTGTAGAGGCCGCGCAGAGACTGGAGCCATTCGAGAAACTTCCGCTCGCGCCTCGCAGTGGACTTCGGGTACATCGTCTGCTTGAAAAGTCTTGTGCCGTTGAGCTTCGATAGATCCTTGAGGCGTCCCTGCAGGTGGTTGATGACACAGTTGACGACGTCCGTGGCGAGCTGCTGTAGCGACTTCAGATCCCCGTTGCTCCGCTGCCCATCCAGCGGCTTTGTGTGTAGAGTGTACGTGTGCACAGTCGGCGCCCCGTGTGCGTCAATCCCCTCGATCGTCACGTCCTCGCCCCCCGCGTACAGATGCAGAAAGTCGGCGAAGTCCCCGTCAGGTGGGCCGAACTGTGTGTTGTAATTTACGTAGCGTGCGCGCAGTGTAACGACAGTGTTGTCGACCATCCGAAGAACCTGGGTGACGTCGACCTGCCATACAAAGACAGAAATGGGAGATGGTTTTGCTCGTTAATCATCACTCTCCTAAATCCGACGACATGACACCATGTGGCTTACCTGGCGACGCTGGAACTTGAGGTTGAGCGTGTTCAGCTCCCGCAGCATATCCGCCAGAAAGTACAGCAAGAAATGAAATTTCAACGAGACAACTACGTGATACATCTTCCTATCATACTCGTACAGCAGGAGGATGGCCGCGGGAAACACATCAACAAGCCGTTGGATAGCCTCACCGCGACTAAGCCAACGTATCTGGTGAATGCCTTGCATTTCGAGGTTAGTTTCAGTGACGACTTCCTGCAGCTCCTTGAAACGGTTGTGGACGACGATGGACCGGCCGAGCACCTCGGCCAGTGACCGCACGACCTTGTCGACGATGCCTAAGTCCGGGAAATCATCTGCAGTGTCCTTGGCAGCAAGAGCCTCCCTGCAGATTGAGAGAAAAACTTTATTAGTCTCGAAATAATCTTTTAAAATATGCATTGTTATAGAATGTTAGAATCACCTATGCGCGATGCAGTGGCAGGAAACCAGGTGTGGAATACGGGTGCGTAGCCTAGCCACGAGGCCTGCCTGCGCACCCGTCATCACACTGGCTCCATCGGTGCTGATGCCGCAAATCTTGTTGAGCTCGATGCCCTGAGACTCGAGGTGGGTGAGTAGAACGGCCTGCAGAGATGCGGCGTCACACTTCTCGACGGTGAGATGCCCGAAGAACTCTGTCACCACCGTCGTGTCGCGGAGGAAGGTAAGGTAAACAATCATATGTTTACCCCGCCGGCGGTCGGTTGACTCATCGAGTTGGATGCCCAAGAATGGTGAAGCCCTGATGTGGGTCATTTGCTTGGCTCGCAGGTAAGTGACGATGTTGTCGACCACCTGATTGAAACCGTACCTGCGCATGCATAATAGTACAGTGTCAGCCTTCTAGAAACCACGTAACAAATCAACAGTACATCGGGTTGGTATCACGTAAAACACTTACTCGCTCTGGTAGGTACCGTTGTCCTTCACGGGTAGGTCTGGTGTTCCCTGCTCTGCCATGAACTGGACAAGTGACACAAACAACACAACGGGGGCGTCAGATTTGCAGAGGAACATCACAATCGCCATGAGTCGCTTCAGTCGCTTTGCCTCATCGTTCCCGTTCTCGAAGTCGACGATGGACTTCTGTTTCGCATTCTTGCCATCCTTCTGCTCCTTCCGTGCCATCGCCGCCTCGTGCTTTTGACTGTGGTGGTGCTTGCGCATCGTCTGCTTCTGTATGTCGATGCCGCCCTCGCCGTTGCGCCCATACTGGTAGTTGGGGTCGTTGTTATACCCCATACAAATGCTACACTTCATGCATGGACGCCCCTCAGAAGTCTCGGAAATCAGCAGCCATGGGAAATACCGCTGCCACTGCTCCTTGGCTTTCAACTGGAGCTCGGCGACTGTGAGGGGAAAGGGACCATCGTCGTCGTCGGAGTCGGCGGGAGATGCTTCGGAAGACCGGGATTGCACCTGGACAGAGGGTGTAGACTGAGCCACCGCTGGTCGGCCAAACGTAAGCTTGCGCTGTCGATACTTCTTGCCAGGAGCGCGAACTGGTAGGACAGGACCGCGCGTCACGCGTGAAGGGGAGACGGCTCGCACGGTTGAGCAGCCAGGTGTTGACGACGGGTTAGGCGACGTTGGAGCATCACACGTAGAGTTTTCTTTGTCAAAGAAAACCCACGGCTCGTCGTCTAAGGGTGGGAGAGGCGACGGAGGTGCTTCACCCACGGCTGCAACCGGAGCATCGCCGCTGACGGCTCGGTTCAGCGCGCCAGTGAGGAGATCTAGACCACTAACAAGCGGAGGGGTTGAGCCAGGGGGCTCCAAGCCTACTATTGACTGCCTAACTGGGGAGGGGATCGACTGCGCTCTCTCTGACGCCATCGCTGTCTAGCCACAGAGCTAGAGGGCGTCTAGGCAGGGTGTGCGCCGAGCAAGATTGGAGCCATGCTGAGGGGGCTGGAAGAACGAGGTGGAGCAGGACAAGTGCCTACGAGGCTTTTCCCTTGGTGCCTTTGCGACCAGGCGACTCGCTGAGCTGCAGCATGGCGAGCGAGGTTGCTGCATGGCTACGAAACAGCTCTGCATTGCTGGCTCGCGGTGGGTGGCTTTCCTGGCCGCACCACTGTGCGCTGGCACATTGCTGCCAGCTTCAAGATGCAAGGAAGCTGGCAGCCGTGCAAGTGACGCACTATCGGACGAGCGATGGGCAGCAACCTGAGTCAGGTTGCTGCCGGTTTCATTTCGTGACTATGCGCTGGCCGTCGCGGTGCGCGTGGAAATGAATGCACCTGCCCACCGACCAGGACCAAGATGGCAGAGTGTGGGCCACTGGGAAGGTGACCCATTGGCACAGTGGGATAAGGGGTGATTGCTGTCAGACGAAATTATACGCGCTATCTGACATTTCAGACGAAAAAGTACACCAAGTCTGAACTTTCAGACGAAATCTTATGACTGAGATGGACAATCAGATGAAATAATTCACCCCGTCAAAAAATCAGATGAAAGCAAAAAAACAGGTCTGATTTTCAGACCATCAGACGGATTTCGTCTGATATCTGAGACCCTGTTCCTGTGTGTGAAATTGTACAAATGTAATTTTTTGAAACCGTGTAACGCTTTCTATTATGTGTATTGTGATAGTGCAGCAAGGGCAACGCAGCAAAGGCAGCGGCGAAGCGCACCTAACCCTCTTTTGCATTCAAACGAGGAACGTGAGGCCTCTCGACCTCACTCTCTTTCTTCATTTCTAGTTCAACCCATATGAAATGAACCACCTGAGCTGCCTTGTATCTCCTATGTTTGCATAGACCGCATAGGGCCACCTCTTAGAGGGTACAACACTTAGGTACATTCACCTGTACTCTCTCTCTACTCAATCATTCATTCAGTTTTGAGATGGTATCAGCAGTAGGTCGGTCCCCGCCCGCCCACGCTTTCGCTCTAGGACCTACCCGCCCCTCCCTAGCCCCCCCCCCCCGCCGCCTAGCCGCGCCCCGCGCGCCCCTCCTCACGGCCCTCGCGCCCTACGCCCGTCCTAGCTGCACCCGTCCTAGCCGCGCCTGTGCGCCCGTCCTAGCCGCGCCCGCGCGCCCCTCCTCACGGCCCTCGCGCCCCGCGCGCCCCCTCCCCTCAGCCCTAGCGCCCGTCCTAGCTGGCCCCGTGCCCGCCCTAGCGGCCCTCGTTCCCGCCCTAGTGGCCCCCCGTGCCCGCACTAGCGGCCCCCTGCGCCAGTCCTAGCCGGCCCCGTGCCCGCCCTAGCGGCCTCCGCGCCCGCCCTCTCGGCCCCTTGGGCCCGTTCCTGCCGGCCCCGCGCCAGCGCCCGTCCTAGCGGCCCCGTGCTCGCCCTAGCGGCCCCCGCGCCCCGCTCTAGCGCCCGTCCTAGCCGGCCCGTCCCTGCCCTAGCGGCCCCTGCGCCCGTCCTAGCCGACCCCGTGCCCGCCCTCGCGGCCCCCCACGCCCGTCCTGCCCCGAGCTGTGTGCGGCTCGCTCGTCGTCCCTGGCCCGGCCCTGCATCCTCCCTGGTACGGTTCCCCATCACCTGTACCGCACTGCACCGTGCTGCACCGCGCTGCCCTACACTGCACCGC